ACATGCGCATGTGGATTTCTACTAACATGCTTACATGTTTCATGTCTCAGCATAAATGAAAATAACAAGTTCTCCTGAACTAATGACCTCCACTCTCTTGAAAAAAAAAAAGTGATTTCGTCAACTGAAGTATTGCATAATACTGATGTTTTCACATAATCAGGCAGCCAATATTAAAGCAGAAAAAAGACGGCTCTCTAGGCTCTAAAAACTTTAGCATGTTGCACTTCAGGCCACACCCCAACTGGTCATAGCAGGTGCTTTGCATTTGACACACCTGCTGTGATATCATTGATTGAGAGCTGTCCAGAGGTGAAAGCAGCTCTCTTTCCTGTTCCATAAAAACAAACTGGAACAGTCGGACTGTACAGGGAACATTTTGTTTTGAACAAACTTCAGCAGAATCTGCCTTTAAAATCAGTTTTGGGTCAAAGGAAGAATGTGGTTTCCCAGAGAATTAAGTTGGAAAAAAAGCAGCAAAGGAAAACACCAAACTTTGGTTCCCACTCACATACTTGGGATACTCCTGCCACACTCAGGGTCAACAGCAGCTGACAGAAAATGCTAGGAAATAATCCCAGTATGAGAAACAGAAAGGAGGTGTTGCAGAGGACAAACTCCTCAAGTTCAGGCACTTCTGAGTGACAACTTCCAGTGGAAATTGGACACACACATGCACACAAACTCTCATGCTGTCAAGCCCTGCAAAGTGACAACAGACATCCTCTTCCTCTGTATCAGTGCGACTCTCCCCCTCCGCCCCGGTTGAAGGAAACCAGCTCAGATCCCTCCGGCCCTTCAGGCCCAGCTCAGGAGATCCGACTCCTGAACAAACTCTAAACCTCGGGTGGAAAAACTCCCCTCATCCAGGCCTGGAACATGTGTTTCAGCGCAGCCTTATGCAACTCTGACTGAATATCACTTTTTTTTTGGCAGGTGGAGGAGGGGATTGTCAGCGGTTTGTTAGAGGAGGAAAAGCACACATCCTACAAATGAGGGAAAGGAATGTGATTTTTTCTCATCATCTGTTACGGTTTCAGAAAGCAAACGATGTGGACCAGCCGATGGAAGCATCACATCAGATTATTTCTCATACGTGTTGTTTTTAAAAGGTAGCTTTTTCACTGGAATAATCCTCGGGCACAAAAGAAGCAATGTTTCAAGAAGAAAGTTGGTTACTGGGTTATTAGCATGAGTAGACCAAAGAAAAAAAAAGAAGCTTCAGAAACTTCAGCGAACACAAGGTTCAAAGGGAACTGTGCCTGTTTAATTCACAAGTATCACTTGGCACCAAAGAAGAAGAGAAAATTAGGATTTCAAAAGGTTTGTTGAGGGGGGGGGGGGGGTTCACCCTATTTTTGAAAAATCGGGGCCTCGTAATGAAGCATCAGTCAGTAAATGGAATAAAATCAAAATAGCCACAGCCACTTCACAGTCAACAACAGGAACTAATGCACGAGAGCAGCAGGAGATGAAGAGGGAGAGACAGCAAGCTGGACGAGAGAGAGAGAGATGTGACCCACGACCAGTTCACCACAGTTTATAATAATGTTATAAGTTAATAAGTTTTATATCCCATTCACTCACACTCTCTCTCTCCCTGTCACGAGTCTGCATCACACTTTTTATTTCTATTTGATGGGTACGGGATGAGCACACGTCCTTTCCGAGTCCATTTTAAAAGTGGGTGAATTATTCAGTTCTTGCATGTAAGTCGGGGCCTTTTGGAGGACGGGGGCCAGTTTCAATCGAAATGTGTGAAACATAGCTACATCTCACTCTGCGCGGACCAGGTTAAGATATTTAGGCAAACTGGATAACGAGCTCCACGATGGCGCCCCATTCGTGCCGACAGTAGTTGCTTACTAGTAGTTGCTAGAGTTCTTCTCCGGCCGAAGGCGGTTGAGGACAGGAAGCCGGTCTGACTTCCACATTGCACACATAGCATAATGACTCATGTGGTGTTCCCAATGTGCAATATTACGTCTTTCAGTTCCTACTTTTATTCATCAGAAGCACGCCATCAAACATTATAATATGTCAAATTTTTAAATATTTATAAATTGGAGGCTTTCGGACACCTCGTGGTGACAATATGCATTGGAGGGTTGAGTAAAGCTTTTTAAATGAGCAAAAGAGGAATACCCAAATGTTTATACCTTGTTATTCTTTTGGGGAAAGTCAGATCATTGTTTTCCATCTTTGCTGAGACACTAGGGAGAGAGAAAGAGGTGGTGGAGAGAGGATGATGATGATGATGAGAGACGAAGGCCCAGGCCCGCTCTATTGATTGTTTAGCCGTGTGCTCCTGCCCACATGTTAGTGATACAGTAAGAACCCACACAGATTTTAGAAAGGAGAGAGAAGAAGAGCGAGGAGTTTTGCATCTCACAGGGATGAATACATGAAGGGAAATGTGTCTTTTCTCTCTCTTGCACACACTCAGGCCAGCACACGAGTGAGTTCCTCTCTGTAAAGTAAACTAAAAGGCGAGCTGCGTTTTGTTTTATCTTTCTTCCTCTCGTCTTTCCAGCTCTACATCTGGTATGTGTTTAGAGGGACCCTCTCTTATCATACTGTACGTGCTCACACACACACACACACATACTGCCGACAGCTTCATAAACTCTTGTTCACAGTCGACTTATTCATTTGCTCACTCTTGAGCTGTAACTCAAACAAAGAGAAAACTACATGCGATAAGTTTGTGCAAAGTTTGCAGAGTAAAATAGGTTGGCAGCCATGATGCAAATCTCCCATCGTGCATCTGGGCAGCATCTCACCTAAAGTTAGACGTAGATGTGTCCTTGTGACACTGATGTCAAAATATGGCAGAATATGTGCTCATACGTTTGGATAAAAGCATTTGTGCAGCTGTTGTGTCATGGTATTGATGTACGACGGAACGCTATTGAGTTGTATTATACTACATGATATTATGTATCACAGGGTCATTTTAGATTGGTTGTTTTAGTGAGACTGAAACAATGACTATACTGTTGATTACATGGTGACCTGCGCACAGAAAGCCACAGGTCTGAAACCAAACCTACCAGCCAGCCAAGCGTCCATTCAAACTGTCTCTCAGGAAGACCACAAGTTTTTGATTTAGTGGGAAAAAATCTTTAAGATTGTGAGGATAAGTACAACTAACACTGCGTCTAAGCAGCAGCTTGAGTGCTCCATCTGTAGTCTGCACAGGATGCATTCAGGAACAGCACTGAGCGTAGGTCACCCTAGTTTTGGCATTGCTCAGAGCCCAACACACAATCACTGTAGATTTGCCTATAAAATGCTGGAAAATAAACTTGAAACCTTAGACATTTAGAAAATGGCTTTGACAGCACATGATTGTTTTTTCTAAATTTGATTAAATTGCACGGTAACACCTAAAATTACACTGCTCTAGGCCGGTGCACTGACTTTTCTCCATTTCAGGATCAACACTTGAATTAAGTTGAATTCTAAATACATCATTCGTCCCACATGAGGCAATTGGGTCTGAAAGCTAAAAATACACACAAAAACAATTCATGCATACAGGTTAAAACAAAACATGAACAACTAAGAGAAACTAATCTTGAAAATCTTTTTAAATGATTTCATGAGAATTTCCGGTCTCTCCATAACATAATAATAATAATAATCATAATCAATAATCATAATCATAACAAGTGTCTTATTGACGTCTAACAAACATTTCTTACTCCAAAAACAGGACAATTCTGAATCCTAAAATCGCCTGAACGACTCTTAAAATCACTAAAAATGTCAAAATCTTCTCTTGACATGTTTTAATTTAAAAATACTGAATAATATGCGTCTGATGTGTTTTGTCTACATAGAAGATTCCACTTCTTTGTTACAAAATATGCAAAAATCGCTCATTTCAAAAGGTTTAACAGCTGGACACAAGATGTCTCCTACTTCACTGAAAAGGCCTTTCTCAGTGTTTGCGCACTGGAGGTTTCAAGTTCCCACATCACACATGATTGGCTTCCACACGAGCTGTGACGTCACAAAATCGCCTCATATGTCCACACACCTTACACTCAGATTTAAAGTGAGTGCAGATGCACATGAGAGCAGCCTTCCAGTGTCAAAGTAACAATACAAACAGTATTGTGAATGTGAAGTAACAATAAGTGAATGGAGGGGGTGGGGGGGGGCTTTAACCTCCACATGAGTGACACCAGCATCATCTTGAATCCAAACTCTGATGCTTTGACCTGCTACAACACACTTTACCTCCAACACAGAACAATAAAGTCCTAAAAGATTAAGGAAAAACAACAAAAAGAGCAGGAGCTGGAGCAGAGAAGGAGGTAGCAGGGACAAAGTGACAGGGAGAGGGACAAGACTCTCACATTCCACTCTCCACAGCCACAATGTGCTGCCTTCAAGGGTGCCTAAACCAATCCGAGAAACAAATTCACATGAAGTAAAAAAAAGTGTCTCTCTAAAGGCATCCTTCCAGCTGTTCTAGCTAGTTTGCAAAACAGAAACATATTAATGACAGTGACTCATCTCACATCATTCTTACATCAGACATGCTCACATGGTCTCCACACCCTTGAACATCACATATTGCCAATTAATTCATGTTTTATATTAAAATGCCCACTTTTTCCCCCAGCAGATATTAAATCTCTTTACTGGATCATTTTCAGTACTGACATTTCCTGAAGCAACTGAACAGCAGGGCACCTATCTCTATCACCTAACCTCTCACTTACTCACACCCTAAATAAATCTTAAACTGGAGCATGCACAGTGCAGGGGTGACCGCTCACCGTTTGCATGGTGAGTCATGAACAAGACTCCCAAACAAACTACAAATCTCTCCAGATTTGGGCTGACATCCCAAAGTTTGACACTACTGACTTTGACTTCACCAGGCTAAAAAGCTGTTTCAGCTCTGCTTCTGCAACCGCAAGCTGTGTAAAATGACTCCAGGTGTGTGTGTTTTTAAATGTTTTTTTTTTTTTTTTCCCTCTTACTTCGCGGTGGAGGCTTGCTGACCAGCTCGGCGACGTGCCTCTGCAGCCGGACCACTCTGCCCTCCAGCGCGCCGGACCGGTGGCAGATGGACACCAGCTCCCCCTCCAGCTCCTCTAGGATGCTCACCGAGTGCCGGGACAGATCCGAGAGCTGTCGGAGCACGGAGCACAGGGTGAAGCCGCACACGTCCACCAAGTCCCCGAAAACCTCCGCCTCCCGCAGCCTCCCGCCGTCGGGCTTGCACACATCTTTCGGAAGTACCGTCCGTTTGCAAAAAGGCATGATTTCTTCCCCCCAAAAAATAAGAAACTCCGCAGATGAGTCAAGTTATATCCCTGTGGTCCTTCTCCCTCCGGCTGCCGCACAGACGCATGCTATGAATCCTCCGGGAGGAAAAACTCCGCTGCTCTTGGAGACGCTTGGAGCGAGTTGCGCGTCGTGCGCCCTCATTGTTTTTGACTGCAAGTGAGCTTTTCTCTTTTTTTATAGGTGGAAAGGAGAGACTCAGCTGCTGTGAAGATTGCTGTCAAATTAGCCAGAATGTAACACCAAACATCCGGTTCAAACTATCAAAATCAAAGCATGAATTAATTTTTTTATGGTAGCCTAATCCTAACAAACCATCGAAGTCCCACACAATAGGCTACTCTGAAGATTAGTTATGTTGTTAATCAAACAGTAAAGTATATATTCGCAGGTCTTTAAGCTAACAGACTATATAAGACTATAGTGAAACTTTATGTCACTTTAACCACCTTGGCACCACTAAAGGAAACTGTTTATTACATATTGAAATAAAATTCAAAATACTCATTGTTTCTCTAACAGGTGAACTAACCAAGTTTTATAATTTTTTATTATGTATTTACATGACTCTGTTCACTAACTTTTCATTTTCATATCGTTTACCACTTTTTTTATTCAAATCGTGGGTTACTGTTACTGATCTGGAAACCTCGATAGTTTACTCCTTCAGACGTGCTTTTATTTTGAAGCCAAACAGCCCAACATCAGATCTTACTCTGTCCGGCTTGACGCGGCGACACAGGGCGCAACAGTCTGGTGTTTCCCCGAGAAGGAGACCTGTCTGGAGGAGGAAGAGGAGAAGAAGAAGATAGATGGAGGAGGCGGAGGAGCAAAGCATTCAAGGCACTAAGTGCCTGTCTCCCCCTGTACATTTTTAATTGGCCGAAGAAGAAGAGGAGGAAGAATGGAAAGAAGAAGAAGAGGGAGTGAGACGGGGACATGGATCAACTCCTCAGGACTCCTTCATGCACCACTGCGCGTAACAGTGCGCGCCCACGTGTGCGTATTCGTGTGCATATGTGTCAGAAAGGAAGAAAATGAGAAGCCGTTTTAGTCTCAGGCTGTTTTTTTGTGGCTTGGGCCTCTTACTTTAAATTAATTAGAGTAAAATATTTTACACAACAGTGTTCTTCCAACTTTGTGGCAACAGTTTGGTGTTTGATCCAGCACCTTTGGGATAACCTGCGAGCCATCACTGATTCATTTTGGTCTAAATGGGAGCAAATCCCTGCAGCCAGGCCCCTGAATGTGGCAGAAAGTCTTCACAGAAGAGTGAAGGCCGATACAGCAGCTGCAGATTTATGAACATAGTTTTGGAATGGTTGGTGTAATGCTTGGGTGTCCACATACTTGTGGCCATGTAGTCTATCATTCATTTAACTTACCTCTGTTGTTGATGAATCAACAGTTTTTCGTGTATGTTCTCAATACTACTGTCGTGGGTTTTTTGTGTTGTGTCATATACTGGCTTCATACATCCAAATAAGGAAAATTTGAACTTGAAAGAAAGAGAAGATCAAAAGAGAGAGGGAACTTTAAAGCTTCATGGTGTAAAATGAGGTCAGTTTAAACATGATGAGGTCTGGAAGTGAAGAGAAAAGAAACGGGGGACCAAAATTCCTGAGTCAGAGACAACATGGAGCACTGTAGTGAAAAAAAACATTTGGTTAAAGAGATAAAGCAGTTTTGGAGAATTTGACTGTTTTTCCCACTTTGCCAGAGTCAGAAACTACATGCTTTAGGGCAGATTGTTTATTTTATGTAGGTAGTGTAGTCTGAAGTTATGTCAAACAAAAATATTAGGCTATCTTGGCTCAATGATTGAGTGTCTATGGGATCAAATAACATAATCATGAGCTCATAGGCATCCAGGAATTAAGCAAACCTAAACAAATAAACGAAACAAAGGGGGAGTGAGAGGGCGTCGTTTTCCAAGCTTTACAAAAATGAAGTCTGAGCATTAGTCATCGGGGCAGTTGAGCCCAGTAATCTATCAACTAAAGTAACGTTACTGATTGGGTGCTTCTAAAAGTCAAGGAAGTTTGTGTTTGTTTGTTTGTTTTTTCACCTTTATTTATGCAGAGAATCAGACTGAGACCAGGATATCTTTGACAGCTGATCCCTGTGTACAGCAAACAAACAGATAAATATTTGTATCTGTTTGTTTAACATAGCAGATATAAATATATACAATATAATTTAAAAAACAACAAGAAACAATTACATTTGTGAGGAAAGTATTCATTCCACATTGCTTTAAATTGTCCTTGTTGTGTGTGTAGGACAGAGAGGACCCAAAGCAACGCTCAGGTGAAGTTGGTTTTATTGAGTGAAAAGGTGGTTGAGGTGAGGGAGAGGTGGATGCCGGGGGAACACGGGCACGGGAGACTGGGGAACAAGTAGGGCAGAGGGGGCTGAGGCAAGGGAGCCGAGGAGCACCGGGGGCCGAGGAGCAGGTGGGACCAAGGAGGCTGGGACAAGGGCACTGGGTGGCACTGGGGCCGAGGAGGAGAGGAGGCATGGGAGAACTGACCAGGGGGTTGGTGGAAGAGTGTGGTTGCAGGCTGACTGAGAGGCACGAGGGGGAGCCGAGAGGGTGCCGTGGAAGACGCCCGAGAGGAGAGGGGAGGTAGGCAAGCCCAGCTGACTGGACGGAGGACGGAGGTGAGTGGACCTGGGGAAAGGCAGACAGACAGACAGGGTCAGTAACAGGGAAAACAGAAAATGGGGAACAGAGATGTGGCAAAAAAGGCTTGAGCCAAGCAGTGGCACCAGGTCAGGAGCAACAACGATCAAGCAGAGATTGTGTGGAGAACCGGGGTTGAAATACTGGCAGAGAGGAGGCAGGCAGAGGAGGTGCAGGTGCAGTCTGTCAGCTGGGCTCAGGAGCAGAGAGAGAGCACACGCAGGGGGAGAGGAGGAGACACAAACAGGCAGGCCAAAACACAAGGGGAAAACAGAATCACAAGAAAAAAGGAGAAATAAACAGGACACTCACCGTCAGCCGGGCTGCCACCACAACAGTCCTGTTGAAATCAGGACATCTAGTTTAAACTTTTCCTGTAATGTCTATCAGCTCAGGAGGTAGAGCGGGTTGGCCATTAATTGGAAGGTTGCTGGTTCAATCCCCGGCTCCCCCTGGTTGCGTGTCAAAGTGTCTTTGGGCAAGATACTGAACCCCCTGCCGTTGTTCCGCCAGTGTATGTATGTGTGTGAATGTTAGTCTCTGTTTGAGCGCTTAGGCTCAGTGTATGACTGGTGAATGCAGGTGTAAAAGCGCTTTGAGTGGTCGAAAAGACTAGAAAGGTATACAGAGCATTTACTCAGATCATTTTTAAGCCATGTGCAGGTGTTACCTGTCAGATCCATTGAGGACAATTTTCTCAGCAAAATTGAATGATCACCTGTATCAAAGGCTTTTGACAAGTCAACAAAAAAAGCTGCACAATAAGAAAGTCAAAACCTCACCTCTCATGTTAAAATCCTTGTTTTTAGGTTCCTCACCACAGCTGTTCCATTTATTCACATCTTTGACAGAAATCCAAAACATTTTTTTTCCTCTGTAGTCCCTGGACAGTTTTTACAAAGTCACCCTAAAACAGAATATAAGATTAAAATTACAAAGTTATTGAGATGGAGTCTGTAGTAGTTGCATCTGCAGGTATTGGTTGGTAAAAATACAAGCCGCAGTTAAACCACGAGTTAAGTGGTAAGATCGAAGACCCTCATGTCTCGAGACCTACAACCCTGGATAAGCAGATAACAAGCCAGTCACTTAACAAATTTCCCTAAATTCAAGCCATCCTGTAGATTTCCAAAACTGCATGCTAACACTATTAACTGAATCTGAAGCTTTCACATAATGTCAGTTTTCATGTGCCATGATTCCCCCACGAGTGTGAGCCAAGTTCAGAAAGACCACTGCAACTCATCAGATACATTACATAACACGGTCACAAGACTGTGATTAGATTTCGCTGCACCTCTCGTACATTTGTAAAAGGGAGGTTTCTGTTTTTCTTCTTTCTGCTGTGTCCCTGAACACATCCCTGCTCCATGCCAAATCTCTCTGGTCAACCAACATTACCAAGTTTTCTGAACGGATTCTTTTTCCTCCCCACAAAGTGACAACAAGTGCGCAGGGAGGAGACAACTAACAGCAGACGCTGTGTCAGAGTCTGTCTCTTTAAGACCTCACATCTCTGCAGGAGCCTCTAGGCCCCCTGGCCTCTGAGGAGGAGATGGGTGGAGAAGCTCCATCCTCCCTCCCTGGAGCTGTTCTATTCCTCTTGCTTCACAACTGTTTTCCCCAGCCAGCTGCTCACATCCGCTGCCTGTAAATCTTACAACTTTGTAAAATTTGTCCTCTGTTCACCTCCTCTCATGAGACATGACGCATGAGTTAATAGTTTAATTCCAAAATGAGATTTGAAGAATATAATACTTACTCTGACTCATTAATAATTGTTTTCATATGTCTCCCTCTTGTGTTTTGAAGACCTTTTACCCGTTAAACATTGATCATCCATAATTATGCAATTTGGGGGAAGTGGCCATGACAAAGCTGTGATTCCCTTCTGTTTGTTTGTCCATTAAAGGGAGACTAAGTGATTCTGCCGAAGGATTGTTGATATTTGACTCAACTACCATACAAATACCCTCTCTTCAGGGCTCAGGACTCTGAAATCACTGGGGTTTCTTCAGAATAGAAACCCTCAGACCTTTTCCTCTCTGGCTGTTTCCTTCTTCACAGTGCCTCAAGTTCAGCATGTTCGAATGTGCTGGTGTATAGAACTCTTTCTCCCATCACTCCTGTGCACAAGCACTAATACCATCTGTTGCTGATTGGCTGGAACAATGTTGAGTGCAGGGTCCACACCACTTTCTTTGTTTTCCATTTACAGAGGCTGGGGTGTGTGGAAAAACCAGAGCACACACAAAACTGAGAGCTAGCAAACGTGAGGAAATATTTGATGAACTTAACAAAAGGTGCATTGGATTAGGAATGAACGAAATTTCCGATTACACCCTCACCCTATCATGAAGGCTGGGTCATGACTGAAAGAACAAGATGGTGGGTACAAGCGTCCAAAACGCATTTTTCTCAGGAGGGTGACTGGCTTCTCCCTTAAGGTGTATTCACACCGAAAGCGAATCCAGCGTTTTGGGCAGCTTGATTACATACAAAGTCAATGCAAAGACGTGAATTCCTGTGAATTCGCTCCTGGCGGCGGGAAAGAGGCTTTTATCGCGACACAGGGAAGTGTATGGGGAGGAGCGCTGCAGCTTTCGGACAAATAAACACCCGTAGTCGGTCTGGATTCTGCTCTGACAACTATGCCGTTTACCCGCGGGAGGCGGTCAGAGTTAACTGCTTTTATTAAATTAGCTTTTTACTTTATTTTTTGGGATTACAACTTAATTTATCTTCACTCGAGCTTCTCGGCAGTTAACGTCCGTGCATATCCGGTTCCGGTTGTTGTTGTTAGCGTCGGATGGCACCGTAGTTCTGTTGGACTACTACTTCATATCA